GGGCACAGTCCACTGTGGCCTAAATAAGCTAAACCCCCCTCCCTTACCTTATTTAGGCCATATGTGGCCTAAATAAGCACTTCCTAAATAAAATATTACTGCTATAGCGCAATCAGACAAACATGCGAGTCGGTTATAGCAGAATATTGCTGCTGCTGTGCACAGCGCATACTATAGGCCATCAAAACCTCGCCACTTGTTGGTGATCTTGCGAAAAAAAGAATGGGAGAGCCCAAGTGTACCAACAATGAAGGCGGAGCGAATGAGTAGGGAGGATGTGGTATGCACAGACAAGCAGAACGCATCGCGTGATAGGGCGATAACATAGGCCCCCTAAAGAAAGCCGAAACTTAAGCGGCTGAAGATCGACTCGGACAGGCGCCAGTAGGTGTCTGCTTGACTCCACATAGAGTATAGAGGGCGCCTATTGCCGATCCCTTTAAGCTCGCGTTGCATTGATCTACTGTTGTCTAGTCTGCCTACATCTACCGGTCTTGAGTGATTACAAATTTACAAGAATGGACTTATCATCCGAGAGGGGGAGGAGGAGAGGGGGGGGAGGAGAGGGGGGGGAGAGAGGGAGAGAGAGGGAAAGAGAGAGAGGAAGAGAGAGAGAGGGGGAGAGGGAGGGAGAGAAAGGGAGGGAGAGAAAGGGAGGGAGAGAGAGAGAGGGTAGAATGTCATATAAAATTGCAATATTATGTCATAAATGTGTCAATAACAAAGCTCCCTCATATCTTAGTGATCTCATCCTGATTTATGTTCCATCTAGATCACTAAGATCAGGCGATCAGTATCTTTTAAGAGTTCCTAGAAAAGGGGGTAAAAAATTAGCTGAAAGATCGTTCGCCCACCTTGCTCCGTCAGTTTGGAACTCTCTTCCCCAACCCTTGAGACATACAACATCTGAGTCTAAATTTTAAAAAATCTTTAAAGATACATTTAATGACATCTTTTTTTGTCTGTAGATTCAGGTTCAATACAATGTTATGTAAATGACTATGTATCCATTTATGTATTTTGTGAATTGCATTGTGTAGATTATTCTATGCTCATTTCGTGACGACGTGTAAGCGTGCGCGTGTGATAAGCAAGTAGATGCGTGTGTGTGTGTGTGTGTGTGTGTGTGTGTGTGTGTGTGTGTGTGTGTGTTTGGCGTACATGTGTGTGCACATGTGTGCGTGTTATGTGTTCGTGAGTGTGTATGTGTGTGTTTGTGTGTGTGTTTGTGTGTGTGTATGAGTGTGTGTATTTTTGTGTTTGTGTCGCGTGCGTGAATATTGTTCGTACATGTATTTTTATGTAAAGCGCCCAGATCTGTGTTTACACGGGAGTGGGCTCTATAGAAATGATCTTCATTATTATTATTATTATTATTATTATTATTATTATTATTATTATTATTATTATTATTATTACTGTAAATCGACATCCATTTTGACAAGACACGACACAGCCAGAAAAGCAGATCTCTAGACGCACAACGAAAAACTACACAGGCCTCGTCTCTTCAAAACCACACTCTATTGACACAGTAAAGCCGAGATACCTAGATCTAGATTCTAGATGTAAGAAAAAAAATAGAATTAATTACACCACAGCACAGCTGGTACATGTATTCATGAAGCATAATATTTTTGGGGAAAAAACACTAATTTTCTTAAATATTGCTTAAAATTCAATTCTGCTTCAGCACCACCCTATTTTGATGATGCTGATTTAAAAAATGTAATTAGTTTTTCTCTACCGTGAAGCACCAGCTCTGAAATGACCATTTAAAATTGTCCCCCATCCAGTCGTGTGACGTCCACACAAACTACAAACCGCTGAACCAGAGTTGGCGAGACGGCATTGAGAGTTCGCGACCTCGGTGCTTTCTTGTCGTATCTCCATTTTTAATAACAGTGAAAACAGTTCATAACAAAATGTGAGTTAAAGAAGAAGTCTCATTTTCACTGTTAAAAAATGGAAATACGACAAGAAAGCACTGTGGTGGTGAGTTGACAGCGAGACGCCCTTCCCAGTTTTTCGGCGTAGGCTAATAAGAATGTAGTTTTTCGCACATAGGCCAGCCTAGATCTAGATGATCTAGATCTAGGCCTACCATGTTTCTCACTTCTCCGCTGCGGGGATGGAGAGGTCGTAACTGCATAATAAGGTCAAATGAGAGCGCGGGATTCATTAGCATTTTCA